GTAGAACTTTATTCAAAATCCTATAAACAAACATCTACATTTCCAAAGGTAGCTATTATGCTGATGTTTGATTTGACACATCAAAGCAGGCTCAGGTCTTCACAGCACTGACATTCAGCAATCTGTAAAAAAGACAACATCTGCTCTAAGGATGGATGAAACACCACATAGTGAGCCCTCCAAACCACTGGTCACTTTTAGGGAAAGGCAGTAAAAGGAAGAAGCAAAATGCTTACTTAAGTAAATTCAGCAATATGAATATTTTTTTCTTTTTCTCTCCTCTATTTATATGTCCCGCATATTTTCCCTTCATTTTTTACAATTTCTGTCTCTTTGTTCCTGAACTGTATTCTCCTCTTTTCTGTTTCCTTCAGGAATTTCTAACCTTCTGTATGTCTCCTCTTTCATTCCCCTTATCAGAACTTCTTCCTTTTCCTTCACTGGTTCCTCTCCCTCTGGTGGGCTCCTCTTCTCTCATTATCTCTTCCCTTTCGTCCATTTCTATAGTCTGTACCCTCTCCATCTCCCCACTAGTCTTTCCTTACTTCCCCAGATCCTTACACAGAAAAGAGTGCACAGAGATGGTTAGGTGAACATAGGAGCTGAAGCCAGATTGCTCCCAGTTTTTCTCCCATTATATAACTTTTTTGCCACCTCTTCTCTCATCAGGCCTGCCTGCCCACTGCAAAACAGGCAGCATAGCTAGTGAAGAGGGCACCACTTGTCTCTAGCAACAGACCCTGAGAATGAAGGTACATCCAAATTCCCAAAGAAAAATCAATAGATTTTCAGCACCTACATCAATCTGAATAAACTGCTTTGTTTTAAAGCTCTTCTTTCTTTATGGCTCTGAACAGGAAATGGAGAAGATCATGATCTTTGAAAACTGCTTGCCTTCACTGGATGCCTGAGGTACATGAGCTCTAAAATAATGCCAATATGTCAAAACTCTGAGTCATTCTGTAGTTGTTAGGTCTGCTCTATAACTAAAGTGTTCCTACAAGTAAGTAACTCTAAAGTAAAGGCAGCATAGCAGAAGGCTCTACTGGTTAAACACTTCTTATACAAGTAATAGCTTAATCCATGCTGCTCTTGTAATTAAGATGCTTCTATCTCCTGATCTGACAAGATCAAGATAGGAAGAAAGAGGTACTAGTCATGCAGCTTCCTGTATTTTTAAACCACTATCCCCAAAGAATGTAGTAAGGAGCTTCATGTAATGGCAAAATATGCTGAGTTATATATTCTGCAAGCTCATGGCACTAAAAATATTCCTCTTAGAAAGCAAACAAACTTTGTTTCCTTAGGGTTTAAAAAGAGTTAGGTTAGGAGAGAATGTGCACACACTAAGGTAAAATCTATAAAGAACAGGTCTGCTCCACAAAAGCCACACTGTACAGACTATAAAGAGAGAAACACATTTCCCAGAGCACCAGCTGACCATTACAGGCAAATACTAAAATGCCTGAAAGAATACCTAGATCAAGCTCTTTTCAGGAGGTGAGCTGGAGGAGTGCTTTTCTGAACAACTGAAATTCTTAAAGTGGGATGCTAAGAATAGTAAGGTTCATAATGAACATGAAACCAACACTCCCCATCTATCTGTAGGAACCAAGTGATTATTCCACAAAATAGATGTGGAACCTTTACAAAAGGTTTCAGAATATGAAATAAGGTGACTCAACATAGCAGTCTTGAACAGATTTCTTCTGCAAAGATTGCAAAATCTGTTTCCTACTTACTAAAGGAAAAGATGAGTTAGCTCTTCAGAAAGATGCCCTGCAACTTAAAAATGAGGTGCTATAGTAAAAGTTTCTAATTATTGACTCTTACTTTTCATTCTTGCATGTCTTGAGTAGAATTGAGGCTGTAAAAGTAAATTGCTGCTGTTCTGTGACACTGGTTTAGGGCTTCTAATGGAGAAATTGTTCTTCACATTCCAAACTTCTTCCAGAGCCACTGTTAACAATTTGGCAAAATAATAGCTTTATAACAGATTAATTCAGCTTTTTCTAGAATTAATATAAAACTACACAATAATATTCTTCCATAGTTAATTAAAAGAGATTAATATCTTCAGAGAGCAATTCAGATTGCTAAAGGTACACAACACTCTGTACTATTTATAGAAGCTCTTAGGACTACTCAGGCACCTAACTGAAACAGGATACAGCTTGTCTATAATAAATAAGAAACAGAAGTAATACAACTGATGCAGTAAGCATCCTTTTTTGGTCATACTGGAATACCAAATGCCCTCATAAAAATATGGAAAAAAATAACACCCACTCCCCAAAAAAACCCCACCCAAACCAAAAACTAACCAAACAAACAAAAAACCAAAGCCATCACCATCAGAACAAAATTAAAAGCTAATTTATTTTGTGGAAAGGTTACAATTTACTAGCCATCTAATTTATTTTAAACAATACACTTTAGCAGTCTAAACTGTGTAAATCAGTTACTGTCCAACCTGACAACTGTTGTCTATCAGAGCCCAGGCCAGTTAGTAAGCATCTCTAATTGTCTACACAGATGAAAAAGGAATTCAGTACTCGCTGAATAATCTGTACACCAGCATCTGTGTAAATTTATCACATTTATTATTTATCATTGTTATGCTATGCCTATAACATTATGCTGTACATACCACTTCTGTACTGAGTTTGCTATAGATCCCTATTATACAGTCCTGTAACAAATATTTGTGTAGTGTTTCTCTATTATCTTTAGTACTTTAAGCCTTTGTAACATACATTTCTTTGGGACACTCCTCGAAAGTCATGAGAGCGTATAAGGTTCCATTATATAAGCATCCATTTATTCAACCAGACTGAAGTACTCCAGGCAATTCGGACCCATTGGCAGATGAATGCAGAAAAAATATTTTGTTCAGCTCTTAGTAACATTAGGCACATGAGCAGATTGAGCAGTAACATCTACAACTCAGCTCTGTGTTTAGGACTCCTTTTCAGTCAACAGGAAAAGAGCAGGCACTTTTAGAGTATGACACATGCAATGACAGGTGTCTAGGACAGGTCAAAAGAATGTCCCAAGTGCCTTTTTTTCCTCTGCTTACTACACATAGAGGCTACCTAAGTCAGTCATTTGCAGGTGTGTGCTGTAATTCCCTACAGAGCCTTATCACAGTAATAAAAATTACAGGCTCAAATGGTCTTTATATCACCTAATTTAGGTACATTTTTGTCTGTGAATCCAACTGTTTTAAATTCATTTTGAGTGAGTTTAGAAAAGGGTCTCAATCCTACACAAGAGAAACAGTATTCTAATAACCACAGCATTTCTTTCAAAGAAAAAGGTAACAAAACCTCCCTACTGCTGGCAATTGTTTCTGGTTTATTACACTGATATATCATGTAGAATTGCTTGCGTTCTCTCTGGTCTCATAATTTCTGACCAAAAAAAGAGAAAGAAGTAAAAAAGACTATATTCAATTTTGCTGTTTCTAAATGTTCTGCACGCTATTACATAAATGTTCTGTAATTTTGCCACAGTTCCTCAAAACAATCACTTTGTCCTGACAAACACTTGCCATCTGCAGATAAAGAGGATTACCTGCAGCTGGATGTTTAACGTTGCATTCTTCTCTCTGAAAATGAAAGTGCTCCTCCAGTATTTCTTTAACTCTCCTAGGTGGCTCAACATATACACATTTCTGCCCTGTTAGTAAAACATATTACAAAACAACCAGTTATTATAAATCCCCTGAGTGCTGATGTACTTTGTTGAATGCAGTTGCCAAGTCATGCTACTCTTGACTACACTGTGAACCCAATCATTTACAAATACATGACAGTGTTCAGTCAGGCCCTACTCCCCAACAATGAGCAATTCCTCAGGATAGGAGGCTGGTACAGGATAGGACTCCGGTGGGTACAGCCAGACAGGCTGTGTTGGTAGCCAAAGCCACCCCACGGCTACTCGGGGACACGGCCACTGTTCCTCCCCATAATAGACATCCCAAGGCAGGGCCGTAGATGGAGAAAGTCTCCAAGGAGCTGAAGAGGGATGCGGACACCCCACGGCAACAGGGCCAGCACCTGCCGCGGTGCTGGCGGACATCAGTGAGGAAAACCGCGGGGAACGGCCGGGCACAGAGGGGACAGCGCGGGGTGGGCCCGGGCTGGGGCAGGGGTGGCCGGGGACCGGGGAGGGCCGTGCTCACGGGGCTGCTCGCCGCGGGCGTCGCTGCCCGGCTCCCCGGCCGCCGCCGCGGGCACCGCTCGGCCCGCCGCGCTCATGGCCGCCGGCGCGGGCGGTTGTGCCGGGCCGCTCCGCGGGGTTGCCAGGCTGCCCGGCGGGCGGGGCCGCGCCTCGGCGGCTGCGGGTCCCCAGGCGCGCAGGTGGCCCCGAGGGACAGCAAGCCCCGGCCGCCGCTTGGGGCACGGCGTGGGGGACAGCTGTGGTGTCATTGGCAGACACTCCTTTGTGTAGCTCAGCATGGCCACGGGAGCGGGGCACGCACGTCGCGAACTCGGTACCACTGCGGGCCGTCACCACGGGCCTGCCGGCGGGAGGGTGACATGTCATCCTCACCCGAGGCAATGCCGGACTGAGGGGAAGAACGACAGTCCAGTTTAACTGATGTATATCACCGATACTCAAAAGTTTGGTCATGAAACGAGGCACGTTCAGACACTGCTTATTGGACCGAAGGGCCTTGTAATCCACATCTCTATTGATGCATTTCAAGGTATATTCATCTTCTTCCACAGATGTCCTGAAACCAAACTTTCAAAAATAATAAGCATTAAAATCATGTCGCACCATTCATAGCTCAGAAACTGTGCTTCCATTTTGCAACAGAAAGTGCTGAACATTACACACTGCTTCTATGAGGTGGGCGACCAAGTCACCCTCCACAGCAGCTTGACCAGAGCACCGAATGCGGGCCAGCATTCCCCAACCCTGCTGCTACTGCTACAAGTGTGCTGTGGATATGTTAGTGAAACGAGCTTGGGATCACTCAGTAAGGCATCTACATGGGACAGGGAAGTGTTTATTACAGCTCTCATAGTGACAGTACTTCAGCACTTACATTCAATTTTCAGTTCAACTCGTTTAACAGAGAAGCAACTTTCTCTTTTAAATTACAGACAGTAAAGTTGAAAATCATACTGCATGCCCTTACCACGGGGTAATTTTAGTGTACTAACTCAAAAGTACAAAAAAATACTAAATTACCTGTAACTAAATCAGACATAACAGTATGCTGGCTGTTTATCCTCACATGGTTGTGGCTCATTTTTGACAACTAATTCTACATTCTTGACATTAAGTCTTTATGCAACTTAATTGCAAGGGAAAAGTAAACAGGATCTTGATAGAAAGTCACTTCCTTGAAAAGCACTGGTGAAAAAATAAACCGAAACTACTTTCTTATCCTATGAACAGTGTGTTTGATTTATGAGCAGGTGATTGCATTGATAAATGGGCTTTAAATTAATAATATGACTGAATACTTTGGGTTAAATATTTTATTTTATCATAAGCCTTACATTAGGTTCATTAAACGTTTTGTGTATCACCCAAATAAGTTACATTCATTCTGAGCTTTCATGCAGTTTTTAAAAAGTTTAAATTTCTCAAAAAATAATTTTCAAGTGAGCAGTAATAAACTCTGCATAACCAACCCAGAATTTTTTCACATCAAGTAAATATTCCAGTTTTCCCTCCTGCTTTGACACTACAGACAACTTACAAAGGCCTCTCCAAATCTGCACTAATTAAATAGAAACTCACAGAAATTACTGAGACTTTCTGAGTAGCTTGACTAACATCAGTAACGCTTCCAAGTACGAGCGTGACCACTGAGCAGTGCTGCAGGAAGCGACATTTTGCCTGAGGAGAATACTGAAGTATCTTACATAAAAACCTCGCTGCAAAGAGACAGACCACCACCGATGGGCATGCAGAACACTAACAAGGAAGAGGCAGAAAACCTCACATTCACAAGCTTTTATGGGGACACAGCATTTATGCAGTCTTCTACTATTTCAAAAAGGTAGTGATATATATCAGTCCTCCTTGCAATGTCAAGGGCAGTTTCATCCAAGTTGTTTTTCAAGTCTGGCTTCACATAACGATTCATCAGCAGGAGCTCGAGGGTTTCCCTGCTGTTTTTGTTTCCTGCAGCAATGTGCAGGGGTGTCAGCAGACCGTTTGTCTGCGCGTTGATGTCTGCACCCTGCTGAAGCAGGAACGCAGCCACCCTGGTGTTGTTCCACTTGCAGGCGCTGTGCAGGGGCGTCCAGCCGTCCACAGTCTGCGCGTGAACGTCGGCCCCTTGGGCCACCAACTCGTGTGCAACATCCAGGTGCCCGCTGTAGGCAGCTCGATGGAGAGGAGTGTACTGATCTTCATCACGAGCGTTCACTGGAGCCAGCTTTTCCGTCAGGAGCCTCTTCACAGTACTCAGCTGTTTAAAGAAAACAGGGAACTTCACGTGATTCTATGAAACAAGATCTATGGCTTCGATGGTCCTGAAAAGCTTCAGGAAAAGCATTCTGTCAGTGTCAAAAGCACTCATAAAAATCTCAGATACGTCCTCTCCACCCCAGTTAAAAGGCTTATTTGCCATGAAGAGCTTAGCATGCTTTCAGTTCATAGAAGTTAAATAAAAGTGCTGTTACTTGAACTTTGAACTGGAATCAAAATTTGTTCTAAAAGTCAATGGATCCAGAGATGTTTTAGTGTGTATGGACTACAAAGGGGGATGTTTTACATACACTGGCTTGCAAAACCAGATCAAAACAGCTCAGAGAAAGAAAGAAAATTAGAGGTAAATTTTTGTTTGTGGGTGAGACTACAGATGTGTCCTCAAAATAACATTCTTGTAAGTTATTTATATGAACAGAACAAGTGCCTTACCCGATTGTTTTCAGCTGCCCAGAGTAGCAATTTCTCTGGATGTTTTTCCATTTTCTTTTCTTGCATTTCATACCATTCTTCTGTTCTTTCTTGCTCATCGTCGTCATCATCAGACTGTCCTGACCAACAGCTCTGAGTTCCTACAGGAATCAAATGCCTGTGCGTCTCCAGCAGTTCAAGTTGGTTGAAATGCTCTGTGAAGTCTTCGAACAGCTCGCTGTCATCATCGTCTTCATCAGCTTGCTTGTCTTTATTCATTTTCAGTCAGCATCTGTGAGCAGGAGATGTACAACAATATTTTCACTAACTGTAACTGTTATCAATACACTAACTGTCAATAAAACTATCTGATGGATGATGAGGGTGTCAACAAACAGCAAAACTTAAGGGAAAACTCAGCGATTCTCCGCTAACGCGGGCTTTGCCAGCTTTGCCAGGACTCACAGATAACATTCACGTTAGAAAAGCACCGTGTTACCCCGACCCCCGAACGGTACCACCTTCGGACTGCAGTGCAACACTGCGCGGGGGTTTGCTGAGTGCACTCGAAACGCTGCTCACTTTACCAACAAAAGGTCTGGAGAGCAGCCCGGACCTTGGGGCCGAGTCTCTGCTCCGGCCCGGCCCGGCCCGCAGCACTGCCCTCGCTCCCCTCCCACATCACCCCGGGCAGGGCAGGCCCCACCGCCCCGCAAGAGCCCGGCCGACCCCCGCCCGGCGCCGCCCTGGTACCTGAGGCCGCAGCGCCGCCGGTGCTTCGGGGGAGGCAGGGCGGGGCCCAGCGAGCGCTTCCGGGCCGCGCCGCCGCCGGACGTGACGGAACGGGCCGGGCTGGGCTGGGCCGGGCCGGGCCGGGGGCGGTGCTGGCCCGAGCAGCGGCGGGAGCGGGAGATGGCGCGGGCTCTGTGATAGCCTGTCACTGTGCCCGTGCCCTGGCCCAGAGCCTGGCTTGGTGTCTTGCGCTTGGCGTCTGTGAAGAGAGAAGCTGACTCCCTGAGCTGTGCCAGAGCCTTCCCGTAGGAACCTCGGCACGAGGATGAGCACCATCAACTCACAGTAAGCTCCTGTTGTCTGCATTTCCCTGCAGTCCTGACACAGCAGGCAGCAAGTGTTTTGTATGTCCGGGACGAGTTAAGAAGAGCTGGGATCATCGGTTGTGTTTTCCCTCCGGTCCTTACGATCGCCATGCTTGCCTTCATGCATGCGTAGATTACCAGTTCAAAGAGGGAATTAGACTGTTCAACAAAAAACAAAACACACGCAAAGGGTTCTTTAGTTTTTAATTAGATACTTCAGAGGGATGCTTGCAGCCCTTCGCTGGAGCAGAATGACTGAGATAAATAAATCTTCCAGCTGGCTGGTTTAGCGATGTGCCGTTTGCAATACAAGTAGTGAAGTATTTTTTGAGACTCTTACAGGACTGATATTTGGTAGAGTTTTATGGTAAATCTCCGTGTTTCATTACTTTGGACAGATAAACTTACCTTAGTAAAGACTGTGTAGAAATTCCGTATGTGTATTGCTCTCTGACACAAGTTTTACTGTCTTGTTCAGGGATGATGGAGACACCTTTAAAATACTCGTTGCTACTGATATTCATCTTGGCTATTTGGAGAAGGATCCAGTGCGCGGAAACGATACATTTGTGACTTTTAATGAAATACTGGACCATGCTAGAAAAAATGAAGTAAGTGCTACTTTTTGGAGAGGGAAGGACTGAGGCTGTTAAAAATATGGTCCAATCTGCCAGAAGCTGTAAAGCTTAGTCCTGGTACTGTTTCTAATAATATCAAGTGGCGGGACTATTGGTTGCATTCAGTTTCATTTCTGATTTAGTAAAAGGAATGCCTGTTTCTTTGTGAGAGCGTTCTTGCTGAATCATGACTTTAGTCGCATTTAGCAGTGTTTTTTGATTGCCTCCACCAGTTTCAGTGGTATCTAGAGAGGGTTTGTCACTGCAAGGAGGAAAAATAATTGAGGAGAGCGAAAGTAGTGATATAAAGTCTTCTAGTAAATCAGTGGAGATTTGTTTGGAGCTTTTGAAGTGTCGTGCAGTGCTGAGTCGCTGAAATGAGCAGTTCTGGTGCCGAGCAGCTCCAGTGCCTGCACAATCGGCAGTAGAATCCTGCGGTGGGGTGGACAGAGGAGCTTCCTGAACTGTGCCAGCCTCGGAGGAGCCGAGAGTGGGAGCCGAGAGCCGCCAGGAGCCCTCAGCAGCTGATGGGACCTGGGTGGGGTCAGGAGCAGCCAAAAACCCTCCCACACTTGTCCAAGAAGCTCCTGGGGAATGGCAGCAAGCAGGAGCACCTCCAGCACGGCAAACAGACTTGCCGTGGCATGGCTTTTTGTGCAGGAACAGCACTTGAGCTCTGCCAGCTCCACCAGGGAGTAGTGGAATCTAGCTGGCAGAAAGCTGGGGCCTTTCTTCTGCATCCACCACGGCTGACAGAGCTGCCCAGACAGAGCTCCCTATCCAGACACAGCTCGGGCTGACAGGTATCAGGGAATGTGTATGAGACAGAGAGAGACTACTGGAATCACACACTACTTTCCTTGGGGCAGGCCTAGCAGGCAGACAGGACATATGATCCAGGGGATTCCCTATCCTCACTCCCTCTGAATGAACTCACTGAATTAAGGGACAGGGGGCAATGGCAACAAGTTCCTGCCCTGCACAGCAGGTGCATCTCCTCCATGGCTGCTCCACGTGCCCTGCCATAACAGATGTGAGGCTCTGCAAGTGGAACTGAGCAAGGATAGTCGTTCATCTAGCATAGAGGTGTTGCTGAGGTTGTTGCCTGTGCCCAATATCAAAACTCATTCCATGAAGGAAGAAGATGGGTTGTTAAAGGAGACCCCTTTCTGATGGGAACAGAAGGCCCAATATGAAGACTGGGTCCACTTCTTAGGGAAGCCTGCTGCATCCCTGGAGCCTGAGTAGGTTGACAGCAGCTGAACAGGATCCAGTGTGTGCCCAGGTGGCCAAGAAGGCCAGTGGCATCCTGGCCTGTCAGCAATAGTGTGGCCAGAAGGACCAGGGCAGGGACTGTCCCCTTGTACTGAGCACTGGTGAGGCTTCATCTCAAGTGCTGTGTTCAGTTCTGGGTCCCTCACTGCAAGAAAGACAGCTAAATATATGCAATATATGCAGAAACTGCATCTAGTACCTTCTCAAAATAATATGCTGATAGCTACTGTTTATTCGCACTAGATAGCGTAGGAGTGGGAAAATAATGTCACTGTTTTTCATGCCTGTCAAAAAATGTTCAGGAGCCAATTTGGAGACCCTTATTATAATAGTACACTAATCTTTTTTTTATCACTATCAGTTGTTTTCTCCTATGACTCTTCATAAATGGGTCTTTTTGGGGTTGATTTTGTTTTAGTTAACAATTTAATTACTTTCTTTTTCATAAGGAAGTTAAATATTGTTTCTGTTACTACTAACTACCTAGAATTGTACATCTTCATATTTGAGGAAGTATGTGTCAGTCCCTAGAAGAAATAATTTAAACAGTTTGCTTAGAAGTCTTTCAAGGTAATAAAAAATGCTGTATTGAAGTAAAATAATAAGGCTTTTTGTTGCATACAGGTGGACTTTGTTTTATTAGGTGGGGACCTTTTTCATGACAACAAACCTTCCAGAAAAACAGTACACTCTTGTTTGGAATCACTAAGAAAATACTGCATGGGTGATCGTCCTGTTCAGTTTGAAATTTTGAGTGATCAGGCAGTTAATTTTCATTATAGCAAGTAAGTATGTTACTATAAATTATCATCTAAGGCTTGGTTTGTGTACTGGGTGAGTGTGTTGTGATTTCTATTTTATACCCTCCGTGACTGGAACCTGGAACTTTTAGGTCTATCTGTGTGGGACATTTTACAGGATAACTCCAGCTGTCATCTAAATCTGTAAAGTAATGCATACAATATTTTGGGAAACTTCTGAATGTGCTGTGACTCTTGATATATTTATTTAATATATAGTTTCCAATTTGTAAGTACAGTACAAGTAAATCAGTTCACATGAGTTGTTTTAGTAAAATCAGCAGAGTTCCTTGTGGGTAAGCAAGGGTTGCACAGCCTAATCCACTACTATTACACTAATTTTTGTACAATTCTTTTCGTGGCTTGTTCTAAAATAATAGTCTTCTTTTGTTACCGTATTCCCCATGGAAAGTGCCATTCCAGACCATGAATAAGAATCTTATGTTTAAGTTTAACCTTAGGCTTATTCATAATCACTTCATTCTGATTTGTACCACATCTATTTGTGATGAATTTGAAGACAATATTGAGAATCATACACAAATTTGCAGATATAGTTTAACTTATTTTCCTCTTTTTGCTCAGATTTCCTTGGGTGAATTATCAGGATGAAAATCTCAACATTTCTATTCCAGTTTTTAGTATTCATGGCAATCACGATGATCCCACAGGGGTAATTACTATCATAATTATACTGTTGCATGACAAAGATATAGAAATAGAAACTTGTATAAAAATGCAGTTCTGGGACATCATGCTAGTTTTAGTTGTTTCACTCTGTAAATATTTTGTGTATCTTTAGGAAAAATGAAGTAAGTTGCAATCCATATGAACTACGTTTAATTTCTTAATTTATATAGGTTTCTGTCATTGATAATAGAATCACTTTTCATGCTAAGAAGTGTCAGTCTTTCAGAACGTTTCTAAAATATTCCATCTGTAGAGATTGAAAGGTTTTTCCTTAAAGAAGGAGAATTTTGATACTTTGATTTGTGCATATGTAATTGATATGCATCATGCATTTGCAAGAAGATATTCTAATAATAGTGAAATGGTAGCTTAAAACAAGCTGCAGGAAATAAGCAGGAAAAGGATGTTTAGAAAGTATTACAATTCATGTGTTGAATTAATAATTTTGTATTTTATACAAAATAGCAGTGTATCATGGAAATGAGTGTTTTAGCAGCAGTTTAACTTTGAATTTGTTATAAAGTAGTTACCTTAGCCAGATAATTTTTGTAGTAGTTTAGAGACTGGCTGATTGAATGGGTTTTTGTGGTTTTGTTTCTCTGAATGATTTAATGTTTAATTTCGTATTGTTCAAATGAAGTATGACTTGTAAGGAAAAGGGATTTGCTTCTGTACTCTAGAGTACTAGCAAAACCCCTAATATATATTATGGGGCTTTTCAGCTGCAGAAGTTATTTAAGGAAAGATGTTCTCTCTTTTGAGACTTTCATTTAGACATGAAACACTTAATGTTCTATTCAAAGTTTTGTATTTGTTTCTTATTATTTGTTGTAGGCAGATGCACTGTGTGCATTGGATATTTTAAGCTGTGCAGGCCTGCTGAATCACTTTGGACGTTCAACTTCCGTGGAGAAAATAGATATTAGTCCCATTTTATTGCGTAAAGGTAGAACAAAAATTGCACTGTATGGCTTGGGTAAGTATTTGTCTGCCAGACTGTGACTAGACTGTTAATGTATTACTGAAATTTAATAGGTCTAAATAAAGTTGGAACAAATATATAAGGCTGCAACAAAGATGAAGGTCTAGGTGATTCTAAATTAAAGCATATCAATTCTGTG